AATACAAAGATGACATAGAGTTTATAAGAAATACAGATCTAATAATTAATTACTTACAACTCAATATGTAGTATTAAAGATGTTATCGTATATGTACTTAAGTTTACTCATAAATTTAGAACTAACTTAAAAAAAATTAAACAGAAATATGCAAAAAATAACATTCGCAGAAACGAAGATTTACAAAAACTTCAAACGTACATTTGGCTTCATTTAGAGATGGTTCTCCAATGAAGACAAACAAAACACTGATTTATTGCAATCTACGCAAAACTCCACTAAGCTCGTTAGAGCACACTAATGTTGTCTATCAAATCCCCTGTTCTGAATGCAATTCCTGCTACATTGGCCAAACCAGTCGTTCACTTCTAGGGCGTATAACTTCACATAAAAGCGACATTAGACTTTCCAAACCCTCTTGTGCCCTTGCACAACACGCCATTTCCACCAAACATCACATTGACTTCTCAAATACTAAAATACTGGCCAAACAAAATAACCATCAAAAACGCTCCTTTATTGAAATGTGTGAGATCCTAAAAAACCCATCTGCAATAAACAAAAGAACCGACATTGACAATTTGAGCCAGGTTTACCACTCTCTCATCTTACGAAATAAATAATACCAATATCATAATTTAAAATAGCCGGATTTTCCATTCAAAACAATAACATAATCATCCCAAAGCTCTAAGTTTCATTAAAACATAAATTACAAAAAAAAATCATATCAAATTTTTCCGTTACAAATCCACCCGTCCAACTATTCTTTCAATGACCCCCGTAGAAGTTCATAATTGTCTCAAACCTTGGAATTTGTTGAAAACATATGGCCCTTGAAAAACATTTTCGGTATCGCGCCACGTCGTTTTGCGTAGATTGCAATAAATCAGTGTTTTGTTTGTCTTCATTGGAGAACCATCTCTAAATGAAGCCAAATGTACGTTTGAAGTTTTTGTAAATCTTCGTTTCTGCGAATGTTATTTTTTGCATATTTCTGTTTAATTTTTTTTAAGTTAGTTCTAAATTTATGAGTAAACTTAAGTACATATACGATAACATCTTTAATACTACATATTGAGTTGTAAGTAATTAATTATTAGATCTGTATTTCTTATAAACTCTATGTCATCTTTGTATTTTAGAGAACTGATGAAGCTTTAGAAATATAAAGCGAAACGTCTTCGATAAACTTATGAAGTAGCTGACTTCTGTTTTTTATTTTGCCAACCTGACTGACCGAATAAACCTCTGAATTCACTAGTTGAATACTTTATTAATATACATATATATATATATATATATATATATATATATATATATATATATATATATATATATATATATATACATATATATATATATATGTATATTGTTTTAGTGAATAAGGGAAATAAAGTATATAAATTAGACTTATAAAAACAGTTCAGTACATTGCGGAACACACTGTGTGACCACTAAATGGAAGCCATCCGGAAAAAAACCACGAGAACGGCCTAGAAAACGTTGAAACTGATTATGGGAGCCGGAATTTAAGAAGAGTAGCCTGAGAGAGCGAAGAAGGGAATACAATTTTGGTTTCTTTGCTTGTTGATGTGGCGTTTTATTCTTCTTCTTGATGGAAAAGCTGCACAGATGTTGTATTTAACCAGATTCTAAGGTTCTTTAACCAAGAGGTTCTTATTCTAGACCTTGCGTTCCAAATATTTTTACTTGCAGAATTGCTTAAAAGAGAGCATATCTGGATTCATTTCGCATGATATGACCGAAGAATTGTAACTTTCGAGATTTGATGGTGGTCAGTATGTTTCGGTTCTTATTCATTCTTCTGAGGACCTCCTCATTTGTGACTCGGTAAGTTTACGGGATCTTAAGAATTTTCGAAGGATTGTAAAAAATCAGATTGACTACATGCTAGTAAATAAGAGGTATAGAAACAGCTGTACATCTGTTAAAACATACCCGGACCAGACATAAATTTGATCATGTACCAGTTGTAGGTAATATCAAAGTCAGAATGAAGAAAGTAAGTTGATGAAGAAGTATGACGCTATAAAACTGAAAGAAATCAAAGAAGAACACTTGAAGAAAGATACAGAGAAACGGAAATCGTGGATGACCGATGAAATATTGAATTTTTTGGATTGAAATTGAACTTTTGGATCAGAAAAAAAAACAAAGAAAATCTCCAAGAATATAAGAGAATACATACCATCGTCAGAAGAAAAATAAGAGAAGCCAAAGAGAAACAAAAAACACAACAATGTCAAGAAATAGAGGAGTACCAGAGCCGATATGATAACTTCTGTTCAATTTTTTCACATGCGAAAAATCATGTCATTTTTTCGCTGTATTACTAACTACCATTCTACCACAAGTTTACAATTATTTTCCATTCTTCAATCCTTCCTACTCAAATTTCAACCCCACTCCATTAGAAATACAGACAGTTTTAAAATAGCAAACAAGAAGACGCTCTCTTGCCTGTTGATTGTCGTTAGGGACAGTCACTACTCTCTTGCCCGTTACCTATCGAAAGGAACGATCGCACCCTCTTGCCTCTTATCTATTGCTGAAGACAGACGCTCTCTCTTCCCTGTTGACTATTGTTAGTAACAGAGGTATCCTCTCTACTGTTGACTGTCGCTAACAACAGACATTCTCTCACCCGCTTTTAGTTACGCGAAAAATAGCGCAAATACTGTTTAAATAGTGTACAGACGCAAAATGTGCTCTATCTCGTGCAATGTGTCGTCCAAAAACCGGTAACCCGAACAGCCTTCTCGTACGAAGAACAATCGCGAGTGAAAGCCTACCAATACCGCGAGTGCGCAGCAGCAATATTGGTGAGACTTTGTATAAACTTAATTTGCTATTATCTGTATAACCTTTTACCACATATCCTAATTTATTTGAACCAACCCTATGTAATACAGTCCTCGTACACTGAAATTATACTCATAATTTCACATATGTACACTCTTTTTGTACAACTTCAATGTTCATCGAAAGGTAAAGGAAATACCTGGAAAAATAACAGATGATGAAGGCAATCTTGCCAAAACCCAAGAAGATAAAAAAAAAGTATGGAAAGAATACTTGGAGAAACTTTTCCATGACCTTAGAACAATACAAGAGCCCAATATTGAAGAATATTCAGGTTACAAAATCCTACCAGAAGTAATAATGGCAGCTGTCAGACAAATGAAACTTAATGAAATTCCTGCAGAACTGTTGAAGCTATTAGATGCAAAACAAATAAAAATAATAACAAATATTTAAGGAGATAGACAAGGCAGGAAAAATACCAGTAGAATGGCTCAAATAGGAGTTCGTACCATTGCCTAAAAAAACCAGGAGCAAAATTTTGTGAACCATAGGACCATAAGCCTAATAAGCCATCTGCTGAAGCTGTTTTTAAAAGTCATCCACAAAAGAATTTACCGGAAATGCGAGGAACAAATTGCGCCCAATCAGTTTGGATTTGTGAATGACATTGGTATGAAGGGAAGCTTTATTTAGCGTGCAGGTATTGTTTCAGAAATGTAGAGATCTCAGCTGTAATGTTTTTGCATACCTGGTTGACTACAAGAAGGCTTTCGATAGTCAGCCATTAATAAATGATGGAAGTGCTGAAGAGGATAGTGATTGACGGAAAATACTTAAAAATAATAGTTAACCTGTATTGGAATCAATCAGTGGTGCTACGAATAGATGGAGAATATACAGATCAGGTCAAAAGGGTCTCAGGTCTTGAGGGAGTGAGACAGGGGCGCATAATTTCACCACTGATATTCAATCTGTACTCGTAGCACATTTTTGAAGAGGCTCTAAAAGATATTGATGAATTCATCTCAATAAATGGAGTCAAGCTCAATTACTTGCGGGATGCAGATAATACAATAGTGTTTTCCAATACTATAGAAGGGCTGCAAAACTTAATGAAGAAAATAACGGAAGCAAGTAGAACATATGGACTGGATATAAACACCAGCAAAACCAAGCTAATGATCATCAGCAAGAAAAACATAACTAGAGCAAATCTATGTGAACCAAATGAGAATTGAATGTGTCTCACAATACAACTATTTGGGAACTATAATCAATGAGTCATGGGGCAATACCCAAGAGATTGAATGTCACATCGGAAAGACAAAAAGTGCATTCTTGACTATGAGCTCTGTGTTCAAGAGCCATGACTTTACCCTACAAACAAAAATAAGGCTCCTTAAATGTTATGTGTACTCAGTGCTTCTGTATGGAGTAGAAACGTGAACATTGAAGGTAGAAACTCTATCAAAACTTCAAGCTTTTGAGCTATGGTCATACAGAAGGATCCTGAAGATACCATGGACAGACAAAGTCACCAATGAAGTACTGCGGAGGAAAAACACAACTGCGGATTGGGTCAACATCGTGAAGGGCCGTAAGCTGCAGTGTTTGGGACATATAATGAGAAATCAAGGCAGATACGAGCTACTTCAATGCATTTTACAAGGTAAAATTGAAGGAAAAATGGCCCCAGGACGAAGAAGAATATCCTAGTTTGCTAACCTGGGAGCATGGTATAGAAAGATCTCAACACAGCTATTTCGTATAGCAACCAACAAAGTCATCATAGCCAGATCGATCGCCAACTTTCGGAACGGACGGGCACCCTAAGAAGAAGAATGTTTGAAAACTGTAAAAAATATAACAATTCTTAGTAACAATAACACTCTTTATTTGAGCACTAACTATATTTTTTATTGGTATTACCATTTCCCAGTCATTATTTTTTAATGATTTTCACGGATCACCCTGTACATATTTTAAATCATACCTGTAAATATTTTGTATACATTTGGAAATTCCCAAGGCAATTACCATGTTTAAGTTAATGATTACTAGAAAACGTTGAAATTTCTGAAGGTTTTAATACAACAATTAACTTCTAATTACAATAACTTTTTCATTAATTTAAATACCTATACTGGAAATTAAGACCTTATTTGACTTACCTTTTAGCCGGGTTTGCAAGGTTTTTACCCATGTTGTGACTAAAAGTGGGTCGGAATTTTTGAGTACTAGGTTTTTGTAGACCCATTTAGGTCCCTTTTCTCTTTCTGCATAATGGATAGTGAATGCATTGGGATTCAGTTGTCTAGTTTCACTAGGATGAGTTTTCCTGTAATTCTGTTGCACAGATATTACATTTTCTATAGGTACAGTGGTCTTATCTAAAAACAAAAATGTTTATTTATATTTTAAACTTAATCATCAAGTCTTTTAGTTACCTGACGGCGGTTTTTCGTTATCCCAGACAAGATTTCCTTGATGAAAAATAATCCTCAATTTTTTCTTACGGGTATGAAATGTGTTTAAGAGCACAAAGTTTTGTATATCACTATCCATTATTTTCATATCAATTTAATTCCGTAATGCGTGTTTCATAGCCAATTTAAATTTACACATGGTCACAACTTTCGTAAAAAAACAATTAAAAATTACACGAGCACAACTACTTCTACATGACGTTTAGTACTGTTTTGTTTTCCTTTTCATTTTGATGTTTCTGGTTACATGGGAAGGGATAAGACGTTGGATCTGTCTACTCAACCACTCGACCGGACGCATCAGTCTAGCAAGAGGTACAATAATATATTTAAAATATGATGGATCCAAAGCTATTATCCTATAGCATTTTTCTTTTTAATTATCATATTTTTAAGAACTTTCAGCTCTACAGAGTTCAATATGTCTATTTGTGATTAATTTGCACAAAAATATAATCAAAAGTCTATAAAAAATAAAATATCTGATATACAATATTTTACATGTTTATAGGCATTCTCTTAGTATTTATTGTATTGTTGATTACATAGTGGTCATTTGGCTATAGTAGACGTGTTCACACTGAGACTAAGACCTGAAATATCATGTTATCTTATAAATTAGACGTATCGTAGTCAGCAAATGAAAAAAATACCGCGATCTTTGCAGCTTTTGTAGAATTTTCATAGACAATAAGGAACACTGTAATTGGAAAGATATTTGTAGTGTTCATTGAATTCTCATTTATTTTCACTTACATTTCTACAGTCATATTTGAAGTAGCATGATTTGTTACTGTTGACTATTCAAATTTCCGCGTGTATGTTAGATATACACTGCCAAAACATTGAACATGTTTATTAAAATTGTGTTTATTTAAACCGATAGCAAATCATGCATATTAAATAATAACAGAAGCAGAACAGTTTTCTTATCTAAAATATCAATTTTTTTTGTAAAAGATAAGGAAATATATAAATTACATTTTTTTATGAACATTTGAAATATTTGGAGTTTGTAACGACGAATTTTTTATCGGCACTATATGGTTGTAACCAAGCATAAAGCTTTTGCCTCAAATTTAAAATAATTAAATATAATATTAAGGTTTTTATAAAGATATTTTGGCGAATAATAAAATTTTGCGCACACCATTGCTGTAAGTTTAATCAATAAAGGCCAGCTTTCACTTTTTATCATACTTTCAACTGCCATCTGTCACCAACACAATGTTAAATGTTAAGGTTATGATAAACTTTAAAATCTAAGATATGAATAAACTATTTAAAATATAAATGAAACTAGTTAAAGGAAATTTTAAAGTAAATAAAATTGTACAAAAAAATGGATAGCAATTTTGCTTTACATAACGTATGTAACATTAACTAACATAATATATTATTCGAATTAACCATTTCTTTTGTAGTTCAAAGACTTCTTGCTGCTGTATAACACGATGAGTGAATTGTGCTTTAAAAGATGCATCGATAATGTTAATTCAATAAAACCCGACGAAGGAGAAATAGCTTGTGTCGAAGACTGTGCCACGAAATTTATTAAAATGAATAATAAGATTATGCAGAGTTTTATTGTTGCTCAAACTGAAATTACCAATAAACAAAGAGCAGAAGCTGAGAAAAAACAATTGCAAGAGCAACAAGCAGAAAATAGTCAAGTGACATAAGTGTATTGTAGATTAAAGAGTGGGGGTTATCCGAAACTGTAGAATTTGATAACAAATTGAATTATTAGTTATTCCAGTTTATTTAGCATTGTACAAATATTTTTAATTAAAAATGGTTGTTGTTATTATTGTTTTATTAATAAAATTTATCCTTTACATAATTATTACAAGGGAACTACAATGCTGTTTACTTCATCACTTATGTTAGAATCATGCTGAAGGTTAGGGCATGGATTTACCGTTTCAGTTTTTGTGTGTGGATTGAAACATTCTTCCAGATTTCTTTAACCATGTACCAGTTTGTGGGTGGGTACCATATTTTTTGAGTAAATTGGTAGTCTCCAAAAAATGTTTGGTTCCTGTGATTTACTCTTAAGCACTTTCTACTCTCTCAACATCTTATTTGTACACCATATAATCAATTTTTCAGATGACTTTAAGTATAGTACTTATTGTTGCATTTAAATTATCTAAAGCATTTCCTATTGTTTCAGTGACAATTATCATCATCATTGGTGCTACAGCCCTATAAAAGAGCCTCAACCTTCCCAAGTCTATTACGCCAGTCAGTTCTATCCATTGCCAACTGTTTTCCACTCAGCCCTCCATCTGAGTTTTGGCCTACCCCTACTTCTACTTCCCACAGGTTGTGACATAAGAATTCTTCTGGGAGGGTTGTTCTGCTGTGATCTTACCAGATGTCCTGCCCATCTTATTCTTCGTATTTTTATAAGAGATACTAGGTCTTTACCACCAAATATATATTTATATCTGTGATATATCTCGTAGTTGTACCTCTTTCTCGAAACACCATTTTCACAGATGCCACCGAATATTCTTCTCAGGATCCTTCATTCAAATATAAGCAAGTTTTCATCTGCCTTGGAAATGGTCCATGTCTCCGATCCCTATGTCAACACTGGTTGTATAAGGGTTTTGTATATGGTTATTTTTGTTTTTTGGCTTAAGTTTCTGCTCCTCATATGACTACTCAATCCAAAATAGCATTTGTTTGCTAGGATTATTCTTCAGTCATGACATTCTCCTTGTTGATCAGAGAGCCTAAGTATATGAATTTGTCCACCACTTCAAAGGTAGAGTTATCAACAGTGAATTGGTGGCTGATGTTTCTGACTCTATTGTTGGGTGTTGGTGCCATTATCTTAGTTTTCTCCTCATTTACTTGCAGGCCCATATTTTTTGAGGCATTTGACAAGGTGGTATACATTTCTTCTAGTTTGCATGTTGTGCAGGCAACTAGGTCAACATCATCTGCATATGCCAAAATTTGGAATGATTTATTAAAAATGTTTCCTCTGTTGTCTATTTGGGCATCCCTGAGCGCCTTTTCCAGAGCTATGTTGAAAAGGACTAAAAGGAGACATGCCAGCGCATCTCCCTGTCGCAGCCCAACATGCGTTTCAAATGCCTGTGATTGTTTGCCCTGTATTTCGACTGCAAACAACTTTTCGCATTTTAACCTTAACCAATCTTATCAGTTTATCGGGGATGTGGAATTCATCCATGGCTTCATACAATTTATTTCTTAGGTAATCATCATAGGCGGATTTAAAATCTATCATCTTCGAAAAGATGGTATGAAAAGATCAATATTGGTTTTTTCCAGTATTTGCCTTACCACAAAGATCTAGTCTGTTGTTGATCGACCAGGCCTAAAACCACTTTGATATTCGCCAACAAGCTCCTCTGAATATGCACTCAGGCTACTATATAAAATACTCGAAAATATTTTGTATGCTGTATTAAGGAGGGTTATTCCCCTATAGTTTCTACATTCCAATTGATCACCCTTTTTGTGTAGAGGGCAAATGATCCCGATACACCACTCTTCCGGGATTTGTTCCTCATTCCAGGCTCTCCACAAACTACTAGAAGCTGAAAGAATTAGCTGGATATCATGAAATTTGATAAAAATTAGATATTCTATTATCTATTAGAATCTAGAAAAGGTGCCCTATGTATACAAAGTACCTAACTCTACCAGCACCTAATAAATATGTATGAAGGAAATCAGAAGGGTATGGAAGATACACATTTAAAAATAAAACATGTTAAATACTTTGATCATTTATTATAGAACACATAGTAACCTGTTTGATTGTATTATGTATGGTTTGAACTACTGACAACATTAATAATACTTGGCTAGTAATAAATATGGAAACTTAATATAAAACAAGTAAGAAACATTTAAGTACTTCAGTACATAAGTTTTGTTAAGTACTATCAAAAATATATGAGATGCTTACAAAATAGTGCATCTTTGAATTAAATTTATTCTTTCTCTGTCAAGAAGTAAGTGTACCAATTCAATGTTTTCCTGTTTTTACTGCCATAAACTTTACCTACAAAATATATTTTAAAAATAATGGTTAACTGTTACAAAAATGCAGTAATTTCTTAATGTTTGGAAAATATTGAAAAAGGGCATTTAATTCTAATTGGAGGTTGCTCTATGCTCATCATTTATTATTTTAAATTCACGAATTTTTCAGTTTTTTCTTCCTAGAATAAATTCAAACATATTAGATACATGAATATGAATAAAATATTCAAACATTTAATTTTATTTAATAATAAATATTTATTTGTTGTATAAACTTGATAAAACACTTTTACCAAGGACAGATTTATCAGATGAACATTTATCATTCGATCACTTTAGGCAGTACTTATATTATAACAATGTGGATGACAATATCTCTTGCATAGATTACTGGAAGAGTAAAGAGGTCTTCTATGATCAGAAAATCTACTCGAGATGGCAAACTATGTGACATATGACTTGTGCAGACTCCCACCTCTCAATTAGCATGTAATAATGGATGTAGTAATTAAATAATTTAAAAGAAAGAAAAATTACTCAAGAAACAGCAAAATCATCTAAATAAATTTAAAATTATTAATAGCAATTGATCTTTAAAACTCAATTGCCCAATATTATCATTGGGCAATTGACTTTTCAGATCTGTCAGACATTTGATAATAATGTTAATAGGAAAGAGCAACAAATACTTTCAAATTGTATGTGAACTAGGTGTGATATAAGTCAGAAAATTATATATCTAACAATTTGGGCAGTTTACATGGAAATGGAAGCGCTAGAAGTGTATTTGCACATAATGCTGCTCTGCTCCTATAAGAATATTGTATTTACTCAGGAATTCGCTTTTATCACTCAAAGTTCAACATTTTAAAAGGATTGTCAAACATAAAAGGTATTCTATTAAGTCAACAAATGAAAAATATGTTTTGTCTTAGTCTATACAGTTAATATATCTAGTAACAAATAATTTGGACAATGATGTATTTATGACATTTATAATTTATACAAAAAATATTTGGATACTTGCCATAACACCAATTTTTCTATTCCTTGGAAAAAATATTTAACATGCTGGCAAACTGGCGTGAACGAAATTTGATTTTGGCGTCGCTATCCTTTGCTTCACCAAGTATCCGCTAACTATTTCAGCAACTTGGTATGGTTGGTCCTCGTGAATAGCATGTCCAGACTTTGCCAGTACTTGAAATTGAAACTTACCTAAAAATAATGCAAATGACAATATATTATAGTATAAAGGGTGCATAAAGGTGAAGGCCCTAAATATGGTGATTTGGCTAGCAATAGCCAACTTCACAGGTGCAAAAATGTTTAAATTTACTTCCTAGGAAAAGTTTCAGTCAGAAAATTTCACATCTGCACCATTGAGACTATTTCATATACTAATATGTGAATTATTGAGGAAAAATATCCTTATAATGTTGTATATTTTTGGAATTGTGCAATTCAAAGAGTTGTGTTTGCTCAGTAAATTCAACAATTTGTCCATCTTGAGTGATACTCAATAAAGAGGCTCCTCATGCACTGGAAGGAAATAAATGAATGAAGATAATCACAAGAAGAGTCTTAAAATCCCAGTGCAGCTGTATCTAACCCAGTTATATTAGTTTTTAATCTAACTATAAAAACTCCTACCTTGCATCTGCCCAACTGTTAAAGTGGTATCCAGTCCGTGTATGTTCGCCAATAAAAGCAGCTTCGGAATGCGGAGATCTAAAAACTTCTGTGAAAGTCCCTTGAACCAGCCTGTCCAAAACTTTTCTGTTTTGCTGAGGTCAATCCTCCATGTATATGGTTCGCCATCTGGTTCTGTCCTAATGGACATGGAGATTGGAGTTTTGAATGTTTCAGTTTTTTGTGATTTTGGAAGGGGAGGTTTGCCACAGTTACTACAACTGTCATCTTCTGATTCTTCAACTTCGATAATGTCTTCGATGGAATAATCGGATGGAATTTCTTTAGTAGAAGAAGCCATATCTACTGGTTCTTCAGCATCACAATCATTTGAAGCTAACTTACCTGTTTTTACCCTGAAAAACAATAAATTTAATATATATGAATGATATACATTAGAATAAAATTCACAGCAGCACTGTTCGGCACTGGAAATATTAGATTTTATTTCATGTGTTCTTGTTCAATATAATATTTAAATAATGAATTAACAAATGGTATCTGAATGACTGTTTGAACTTACCTAATTAATTGTCCAGGCATAGAGACCCTAGCTGCCTCAATATTATGAGTTTGACCTCCTTTATAACTGAAAATGAAAATTAAATATTTCGTCAAGGAAAGATCTTACTAGAAAACAATTACAGAATTACTTACCACCATTGTATAGCATGCTGAAGACTTTTGAATTGAGTTGGTCTCCCTCTAAGAATACTTTGCATGGATGACAGTGCATCAAGAGCTGTTCCCTCGACCACATCAATGACACAAAGTCCTACAACAGCCTCGATGTGATAAGCAGCCTCTACAGCTACAGCACCTCCCATGCTATGACCTAACAATATTATTGGGGATGCATTTTTTTCAGTCAGTTTCGCAGCCATATCCATTACATCACTGAAATGACAGGAAGTTTCATATATTTGGTAAAATAGAGTGGTTTGTAATATAACTTACTTTGATAACATTTCCAATGATAGGTTAGAATCATCATTAGTAGAAGTATTTCCATGACCCCTTAAGTCCAGTGCTACAACTTGGCAATTTATCAACTTTGTTACTTCTGCCTATAACATTAGAAATTTCTTAAGTAAAGAATAACTTTATATACATATATTGGGCAATTTTATAAAAAAATAATATTCGAACATTATAAAAAATAATTTCTCAAATAATATCTTGTACTTACTGCAAATAATGCCCAAGTCAAACCAGAATAGCCACCGCCATGAAGACACAGTAAAATTGGCCCCTCGCTTCCTTTGGTGTAAACATGAAACTCACCATTTGCTAACTGAATAATCTCCTCTTTGTCAAAGTATTCTGACCATTTAATAGGGGTGAAATCTTTTGCTAGCCCAAAAACTCGTCTACTATAAATTAAAGAAAAGATTGAAAAATTTATTTTGTAGTATATTTATCTCAAAGTAGTACTTCAAGAATGTATTTTAAAAACAGCAAGATCTTTTCAAATACCAGAATATCTGATGCAGGTTGACTAAAATAGATTTTAGACATATTAAATAATTACAACATCTGTAACAAGTATGTACTTGCAAACTTTTATTTACATGAAAATCTATTCATTGTAGCTAGGTTTTTAATAAAAAAATACACAAAATGCTACTTCTGGAAACACTTTCCAATTTGTTCAACAACTTCTATCCAATAGGTAAATGTGGTATTCACTACATATTTGTTTTTACTATATTAGATATTTACTTTCATTGAATTATTGTTCTTACATCATATGGATATCTATTATGACGTTAAATGCATGCATTAAATATGTTTAATAAATATAATATGTTGTATGTTAAATAAATCTTCCATATTTTTATATCATTTATTAAATTTTTGAGTACTGCCCTTAATGTATGCCTAGAAAAACCTGTCAACCTGTTTAATCTACAATTTTAGCTACCGGAATTTTTATTAATTGTAATGCTGATGTTTGTTTCTATTAAAATAAAACAAATAACTACTATAAAAATAATTATTAAACATACTTACCCAGGTCGTTTGCCATGGTGAGCCAGTAGTATTCTTCTTAAATCAGACATAACGTATTTTATGTATCTCTAATAAAGTGTACTAAAAAATATAGCCTTACATGAATATATTTTCAAAATTAATTTGACATCTAACTATACTGTATGTTTTAAGTTTTATAGTTCCTAACCTTATCTCTTGTAGTTGTCAACTAAAATTAAATTATTAATAGAGGTGCGTTTTATATGTGAGTTTTAGAAACTTTTGTTTTGTCACCGTTGCATATTTGTAACAGACCTGCGCTAGGTTAGGTTTATAATTATCTCCAACTATCCGACTTTGAAATACGAATTTTCTTTGAAATAGGAAAATTGTGACAATGAAAAGTGCAATGTTGCTCGGTTTTCAATAAATGATAAAATTTACTTGAAAAGAATCGTATTTCCAATTATTATCATAGGAAGAATTATAGTTATAATTCTTATTATATTTTCATTAATTGCGATAGAAATATAATTGTAATATTAAAAGAATGGTTAACTATATCTTTGTTTGAATATGATTGCTATTAATATTGGCATATTCCAACAGGATTAAGTTAAAGAATAGATTTGGCAAATACGCTTCTCAACTTTTTTATTTTCGAAATGTACTGTTGCCATATCTGGTTTGCAAATTTTCTCATCGCATAAATGATTCTTATATCATTCATACATTTTTATTAACTATTCAATTTTTATGTAGGTACTGTTTATATATCGGTTTCATCTAATAATGGTATTAAGGCAACTTGTCAGTCTATTTGCATGATTTTGTACTTGATCTCTCCAATTCTCCATAGATTTCCCTTACTTGTCCAATGCTGACAGCATTGATTTCTAATTTACATATAGTTGATCCTTTACTGATTGATTTGGTTTTGATTTTCCGGTAAGTTGTCCACCTATTCTGACCTCAGTCGTGTTGTTTTGGTAGATGATTTCAAGAAGCTAACTTCAATATTATACAAAAAAGATATAGATTGCATTTATGAATCTCACTATGTCGAATGCTTTCTCAAACCGATAAAATGCTGGATCTGTATAGTAGTATGCTGTAGTTTCTTGCTGTATTTATCGACTTTTGAATAGCAGGATTAGTTCGTTATAGTTCTCCATTAATAGTTGTTCTGTCATGACTACTCCACAATATTTTAAGTTGTTAATATTGTTACAAGTTTTAAAGTCCAGACATGACTTCCAAATAGTCGAGAATACGAGTGATAGGCCCCGAAACATCTCGAAAGTCGAAACGTTGCAGTAATTCCCAAAATAGATTCGAATATATTTGTTTTAAGATAACAGATCACTTGATTTAAAGTAAGAGTCAGTTGTAATAAATTCTAGTAAGACCATTTAGTTTGTAAGCATTTAAATGAATTATCCGTGTAAATAATTCGAAATGTAAGGTTCAATTCTCATTACAATATGGTATCCATGTTTACTTGCAACTTTTATATTTTTGAGCTTTTCAAGTGTTTTTAAACTTCCTGCGTTATTATATTAACATGTTCTCTATATTTTTGATCTTAACGTCATTTGATTTCCATCTGTATACAACTTTTTGCAATTATATGTAGTAATTTAAATTTATGTAGGTGCGTGTGTGGTAATTATTTTTTTAATGACAACTACAACAATGAAGGGATTTTTAATGTAGGCTTATTATGAAATCATAGCGGATCCCCACATTTCAAGTAAGAGTAACGAGAATAATCCATTAATATCGAAACAATTAATTTAACAAATACAGATTAAATCTTATTTATAGTACCTATTTATTGGAGATAATTTGAAAATTGGCAACGTCGCACCTTTACCAAATGGTGAATGTCGTAAACATTAATAATAAACTGGCAACAACGTATACAACTAATGAATAAAAAATTGTAAAATGTCAAAAATGGAAATGTTTTTATAATTTTTCAACTATGACAGATGGAGATAATAAATTATATGAAAATGGAATAGGAGATGCCTGGGACAGTTTTCATAACTGGTTATATTGTATATGTGTAGTAACATTTGATTTAGAATTAGGACAAGCTCTTGAGGTAAGTTGTCCTTTCAGATGGTTGTGAGGTAACCAACCTCCTAAAGATATAAAAGATTATTGTACAGACAAATAAATTTTATAAATACGACTGATTAAATAGGGTATGTACCAGAGAATAACATGTTTAAATTGAAAGTATTTGATCTGTGTAGACAGTTTTGCTGTTTAGAATGTAACAGTGTCACAGCTTCTGATTTATTTTTATTTTTCTAGAATGTTTTTCCCAGACACATTAATCTTACAAAACAGGAAATCTCAAATGTCTGTTACTTAGCATTTCCAGACTCAAATTCAGGATGCATGGGAGACACCAATTTTATTATAAGGCTCCAGAATAATCAGGGTTCGAAAAATCTTAGAAATGAGCATCATAACTACAATGCCAAATGTCCTACTGCCTTGCAGGTAGACAGATCCTACTATTGGGGGTATGTGTATTTCAGACAAGTAAAAGATGTTAGTTTACCAAGAGGATATTTCCAAAAGGTGAGTGTTGGGTATTTATCTTTATTGTATAGCCAGTGATTGACAGATTTGTAGTTACTCTTTTTATTTGCAAAAAACAGTAAACTTGTGCAACCCTGTGTGAGGATGTATGTGGATCTTCAACAAAACTTTGCATTATATCTAAAGTTTTGTTGTCATTCATAACTCTTTTCAGTCAATATGATCAGTATCTATCTAGTAAATTCGTAAATTGTAAATTGCTTGTAATAATTTAACAAAATTTGGTGTCAATGTTCGGCGTTATTTACAAGAGATGTTTACTGGACGATGGATTGGTAGAATTGAATGGCCTCCACATTCACCTGATTTTAATCCTAAAGATTATTTTTATTGTGTATACTTGAAAAATTCAGTTTACAAAACTAAACCAGTAAGTCTTGTAGAACTAAGGCAACAAAATATCAATGAATCTTGAGTAATTTCTAGACAATCATGGAAAAATGTGGTAGACGCATTCTACCATCGATTAGGGTACTGTACACTCACAAATGGAGCCCGTTTTAAACACTTGATAAAGTAACCATTATGTTAAAAAATGTTCTAATCTATCAATTGTTACGTTTTAATATAGTTAAAAATACATAGTACTCAAAAATTTATTGAGACAATTAGGTGTTGTCAGACTTTATGTTTTATGTATTTAAGACCTTCCAGACTACATAAAATCATAAGTTTTACATATGGTTGAACTCGTATTGAATAAGAGATTCCAATAATGGCACATCTGGCAACATTGCAAATATTAAATATGGAATCTCCGTATCCCAAAATAGGTGTCCCTCAAATTTTGTACAATTATGACTAGCAATTTATGAGATAATTGGCCGTTTCCAGACTTTTGAGCCACTCTGTATAACCAAGTATAATAACTGTATAACAACTGTATATAACAACCTTAAGGTGTATTTACAGAGAACTGAACAAATTATTTTAATAAATCCCAGCATCATCATTCCTTTTATTAAATAATTATCAGATCTGTAGGCAAGATAATAGTTTTAGTCATAAAATAGTTTTTTTAATATAATTTTGTCTAGTAAACTATATTATTTATTTTTAGAGTGTTGTTATTCTTTCTTTCCTTCCATTCAACAATCTATTCAGCAAATTATGCAGTTTCATAGCTCCTGAATACTTTGACAATGGTGATGTCACTCTAGAAGCAGTTTGTTACAATATTGAGAGGTGGCCACCACCAAGACCTGGATCTACATTAAACTTGCCATTATTAGGATCTGTTTTTCAGGTAATATTAATTTAGAATAACAGAAATGGGTGTTTCTTCTCATACAAGTTTCCTTACTCACTGCTCTTACTTTTTTCCTTTTCAGACATATATTCCATTATCTACTTCAGCTAATTCAACATTGGCCTTACTTAGTGAACCTGGAGATAACCAAATTCAGACTAATGTTGAAGATTTAAATTTGTTTGAAATACTCCAGCCTGTGTTGTCTTATATACACTTACTATGGGAACTGGTCATAGTTTCTGAACCTATAGTTGTAATGGCCTCATCACCAACACATTGCTCGTCAATGGTATTAGCATTAACAAGGTAAACTATTACAAGTGACTCAGTGTTGAATTTATTTTATAGTGTTTATAGCATGTTGTAATATATTTTGTATTTTACCAGACTGATATGTCCCCTACAATACTGTGGTGATTATCGCCCATATTTTACAATACATGACAGTGAATTTAAACAATTTACCAGTAAAAGTCAAGGACCACCTCCTGTCATCCTAGGAGTGACAAATCCATTTTTTGGAAAAACCCTACACCATTGGCCACATACCATACATTTAAGTGATGATATAGGTAAGTAATCATACCTTACTTTTTGATGTACAATATACATATGGATTATAAGTATTTTTTTTTAAATATAGATTAAAGTGGTATTTTTTTCACAGTTTTTGGCAAATGATTGTATAAGCTCAGTATCATATATCTGAAGCAATTTTGAAATTTGGATGTTCTGTGTTTAGGAACTCATAAAGATTCAGCACTTCTTGAATTGTAATAGTGATTGTCTGAATTTACTGGAAATGTATTGATTTTCTCCTTTACATACAGTAAACATTTGTAGATATATAGGCAGTAGAAAGTTAAAATTTGATGTTTAATAAAAATTGGTTTACAAGATTGTTGATAATCCAAAAAAAAATTTGCTATCCTTGACCTCCGATATCCATGATCAGTAACAGAGTTACTTTTTTGTACAGTCATGATAATTAATTGTACTAGGGATAGGGATGCAAATTCCATTTTTTTCCTATCCATTTTATTTTCTGTACTGGTGTTTGAAATTCTATCCCTCAACGTTAAGATCACTAAGCAATGATCTGAGTCTATGTTTGCACCTCTATAACTTTTGCAGTTTATTGCGTCTGTTCCATCCCTTGAATCTATTAAGATGTGATCAATCTCACTCGTCATTCTTCCATCAGGAGAGATCCAGGTTACCTACATATAAGTCTTGTCGAATATCTGCAGCTTTTAAGTCAGGTAATAAGTCTTCAGTGACTTATTATTGTCCCATAAGTATTCTCAGTACTTCTCTGAGGTTTTTGAGTACTTATTTGCATTTTGAGTACTTATCTGCACTGGTTGTGCTGTTTCTAATTGACCAACAATTTGGATTTATACCTTGGAAGATTATTTGAGCCGGATTTATTTACGCATTCACTGGAAAAGGAGTGACAGGTCATTACTATTTACTTTAATATTTCTAAGACATTTGATAGGAGTCTCCTATGACAGGCTACTTCTAAGATCTGGAGGAGGAATTGACAAACCCCCACTCTCTTGGTTTGAGAGTCACTTAACAGTCTATAGACAGATTGTTAAAATAGGTAATTTTCTCTGCTCATCTGATTAGAGTGCTCAAGGCTCTGATCTTGGTCAAATTCTCTTCAACATATTTATTAATGATATGCATGAATGTTTCACTGACAGTCACAATATGCTCTTTGCTAATGACGATAAATTGAGCCGTCAAGGCCTTCCTACAGCGTCCACTTTCCAATTTACTGCATTATTTATAATCTTGACACTTTTGTCAAAAGATCTGCTAGACGTCAACACCATGGGATTGTGTTCTTTTGTTTAATATAAAACATTCCTGAATTAAGCCATAAGCTGTTATAATCTTTGATTAGTGTGATTGTGCTAAGAATTATCTATATTTATCTCCACAGAGCGTTTAATTTTCTCTCCAATGTTATTTAATTTAACCTTTTTGTTGTTCTTCTTCTTATGGTGCCTTATCCAATTAGTGGATGTTGGCGACAATCCCTTATGTTTTGGTAGTCATGAGTATTTCTTCCTTCCGATGCCTCGTTTTCTTTCTATCTTCCCTTCGAAATATATGACCCAGATAAGCAGTTTTTCTTGGTCCAGGTTTCTACACCGTATAGCAGTATGGAATAAATGTAACATTTACTGACTTTACCAACAATGTTGGTGCATATATTTGTATAATGTTAAGGTCAACAGGATCGGCTTGGACTTGTAGTAGTGTTGCCCTATCTGAGTATGCCACGAAATTCCTTACTGATTTGTTTGAGACTGTGTTAACTAAAAATCCAACTCCGTTATAATGATGGGGTAGGTTATTTCCTGAGTAATATAGTGTCGCTTTTTCTTTAGTACATTTACCACTGTTAGGCCATCTGATTTCGTTAAGTCCTATGATGTCTAGGTCGCATCGTTCCATTTCTTGTATTATGATGTCTAGTTTACCAGCGGTATAAAGACTTTTAACGTTCCAAGTACCCAGTTTTAGATTTGGAGTTTTTTCCACTGTCGGGTGTTTCCTAGCATTGTTTTTCTTCGCAGAGATTCTTAGCACCCCTTGGTCACTTAAGGCCTGCCACGGACTAGGGGCCGTTGCTTGCAATGTCTTTTCCATCCTTGTCTTTCTTGGGATATCCTTGGGGACCTTTAATGGTTTTCTTATGCCGTTGACATTCTTTGTTCATCCACCTTTTAGAGACAGTTTCCCACCCTAAGGACAAAAGAGTGCCCTGTCTCACGTATGCTCCTCCGCCCTCTATCCAGAGACCGTTGGCAATGTGAGTGGAATCGCTTATACCTTTCGCCTATACCTTTTTGTTCAGTAGTTGCCACAAAATCGCGTTTGAAAGTCACCAAAAGTAATTATAACTTGCCCCAACTGACATAAATAGTTATAATGGTATTATGTAAATAAAAATTATTTAATGAGACTTCTTATAACTGAAAAAACAAGATAAAAAACATTGTTTGTGAATTTAGGTCAAGCTCAAAAATATAAACTCAAGAAAACTGCTCCAACAAAAATGATTGACAATAGCCCCGGTGTTTTCACGGCGTATAAGCCCTTCCTTCAAAAAGACAAAAATATAATTAAGAAGCTTTTGAGTGGAGTAACCTCCAAGAGGCCGTTTGAAGTACAATCGGCTATACTAAGGAGACATTTATTAGAACTGACACAAAGTTTTATGATTCCTTTAGAGAGGTATATAGCAAGTTTAATGCCTCTGCAGAAAAGTATTCATCCATTTAAGGTAAATATAGCCATAGGTGTTAGTTTCAGCTTACACTATGCTATTTTATATTTTAGGCGCCTCCCTCACCATTACCGTTTAACCCTGACAGCTTTTTCGCAACTTTAGAAGCAGCTGGACCTCAATTAACGTTAAATAATACCGGCATTAGAGGAGACTGGGTAGGGTTGTATAAGAAGTTTTTTAGGTCGCCAAATTTCACAGCATGGTTTAATACTAGATATAAAGAGCTAACTATGAAACTGCAAGCTTTGCAAACTGAAGCATTATCCAATGCCGTAAGTATATTCATTTTTTATTCGAGTTTTATTTGAAGATAAGTGTGTCTTTTTCTTCCTCTTTATAAGCAATTCTACTTGTTCATTGGCGAATTAATACCTCTATGGAAGGTTGTGTGTGTGTGTGTGGAAAGATAATGGCACGGAATCAAGTCCATTTGTCACAGAAAGTTCTATAATTGTACATTTTCTACTAATGTCTTCACTTCTCTTTCGATTTCTCAGCGTATTTCCTATAATTCTGTAATGAGGACTCTCATCTCTTCTTTTGTTAACGCTATTGATGATTTCACCCATGATCAAAGTGATGAATCCCCTTGTCTTATTCTGCTGCCTATTTCTATAGGTTCTGTAAGTTGTCCAGTAACTCTGCCTTTCCAGTTTGTTTCATCCGTTTTCCATAGTTGAAGAACGAACTTTTATAAAGTTTGCAGGGTGGATTCCTGGATATAAACCGCCAAGAAGAAAAACTTTGTCAGGTTCATTACTTTAGTAATGTTATATCAAAACTCAGCAAATTATTAGATCACAAATTGTTAAAGAAGTAGAAAATATCTGTATTACTACTGACCCCTGGATATCTGGAGTAACTGAGAGTTACATCGCATTAACAGGACAATATTTAACCGAAACTTTAGAATTTAAAACGGTTTTATTAGGCTGCTGCCATTTTTCTGGAAACCATAATTCAGAAAACATCGCTTCTGAACTTGGTGAAATTATTAATCAGTGGGGTCTAAAACGAAAAGTAAATTTTGCAGTAACTGATAATGCCTCAAATATGGTCAAAGCTATTAAAGATGTTTTGGAATGAAAACATTTAAATTGTTTTGCTCATACGTTAAATTTATTGGAGGAGGACGCACTTAAATGCTGTCGTGTACAAATAGATAAAATAAAAAGTCCTTTTTTCGACAATTCGGCAAAAAACTCATTTCAAAAAAAGTACCTTATCTTTAGAAAGGCTTTTAAAATATCAATTACAACATAACAAAGTTCTCAAACGGCCAATCCAAGACGTGGAAACTCGGTAGAACTTCACATGTTAAAAAAAATGACCGAGTTAGAAGAGGAAATCCGTTCCACATTGGTATTAGTTAATACAGACTTAGACCAAATTTAAATTAAGAACATTGGACATGACTCATCTAAACATACACTTGTATCGAGAGATATAAAAGAAGTCGACATGTATTTGTCTGATGATATATTACCTACAAAAAATATCAAACGGAGATTGGAACTATCCATTACCGTGGTGGAAAAACCATCGCCATGTATATCCTAACTTAACCACTATATTCATAAAATATTGTAGTATTGTAACAAAATCTGTTCCTTGTGAACATATGTTCAAAATCTGGTTTAATTTTAAATATAAGAACACGGTTAACAAGAAGTAAAGTAGAAAAACTTATGTTTTTAAATGCCAATTTAGACGATTCGCGATTTAATAATAACGTGTAATGTAAATGTAAGTACGATTTACTGTTTGTATTGTTTGGTTTATTTTTCAAGTTATATTAAATATATCATTAGTTTCTTTCACTTCAATAAATATACACATAAACGATAATAGCCATTATGTTTGTTTAGGTAGGTACTCTCTTACTTGAAACTACTTTTAAACAATCATAGTTACTTGTTTACGAAAATCGGTTTAGTTGCGTTACGAGCGTAGGCGGAAAAATTGAGGCTAATGCTTTTTAAATGCATTCATTTTTTTGGAATCCTGAGAAAACTAACAAATATTTTTGAAAAATTTAAATGCACAATTAAAGATTACATTATTACCGAGGGCCAAAAGTCCCTTAGGATAAAGGAAAAGTTTTTTTAATGAGATATTTGAAATTAAAAATTACACTAAATTTTCTCTTTTTTTTTTTTCACCCCTGTAACTTATTGTAAAATAAACATTATAGAAGTTTTCAGGGACTTTCGGCCCTCGGTAATAATGTATTGTTTCATTCTGCGTTTAAATTTTACAAAAATATTTTCAAAAATTCGAAAAAAATGAATGCATTTAAAAAGTTACAACGACCCATCTCTACTACTCGTTATCCTACTTTGATTCGGTGTTTTGACGTTGCCAAATAATTGTGAAGATTTTTTAATGTGGCGTTATTGTATGCAGTTTATTATTTCATATTGGGAATCTTTAAAATAAGCTTATTTTGATGTTTAGATTTTTAATTCGGAAATCGTACTTAAAATACGAAACATTAATAAATTTGTAATATATAAAACGATTTCCGAAGTGGAAATCAAAATGTTATATTACACTTATTGTAAAGTAAACTTGTGGCATATTCCCAATAAAAAACAGTAAGCTGCCATTTAAATCCATTTCGCCCAAATTTGATTATCTTAGAACATTGTTCAAATGCTAAAAAGACAACAAGTCAAATAAAACCAATAAGTTTGGCAACGTTGAACTTCCCCTTTTTTATTATATCCACGCATGCATGTTCGGCGATATAAAGGGCGGACCTAGTATACCTCTCTCTTTTTAACAGGTGTTTCTCACTCTATCTCACTTAAGGTCCATACCGACCATAAACTTTTACCTATACTGTATATGTGTTTTCATTCGGATTTTGCACAATACCAATTTATGATCGTTTAAAATTTCTGATGATGTTAGTGCTCTTACATCTCAGATTTCAGAGGGTTGTAACTCTCTACTCGACGGAATATAGTCTATCGTAGATTTTTGTCCTCTGGACAAAATTGGAGCGGATAATTTTCTCTAAAAGTGCTTTAAAATGATCACAACTCTAGATTACTTCAGAGTTACCTTGAGAAATTTGGTACTGGCATTTTTGTTAAAACACATGGTGCGTTTTTCGATCTCAATGGCCTCATGTATGATTTTTGGTGTGTAAAAACTATTGGGAGCGGTTATATATTGTATTATGCTTTGGTATTATTGTAATTTTGATAATCATTTATAGGACATGAAATTGTGGGCTCAAGATCGTCCAGAGGTGGAAATCGTCGATATGGTGTTGAAGATCCAGAGCAAGATACAAAAGTGCGATCAGCGCGACATTCCTGTGGATTCGGCCATCAAAGAGAAGCTAAATCATCGCTTAAGTGAAATAACATCTGGACTTCCAGATGATTTGAAAAATATACTACATGTTTCATGATATAGGCTGAAATCTCAGAGGAAAAAAATTCATATAACCCTAATGTAACAAATGTGAGGTTGTGACCTACCTGTTCCATAGCTAGAACCTGATTGCAATAAATTTGTAATATATATTCTTACAGTAAATTCCCAACAATAAAACCGATGGACCGATGTTATTTTCGTCTTGAAAATCTTGGCAAAATCTCAGTATCTTCCTTGAGTCTTCTTGCTCTGCAACCAGGACATATACATATATTATCTAGGTATAAAGAACGGTTGAACTAGCAATTATCCATTCCCTTGTGAATCATTTTGCCAACAGTATCATAAAAAAACATGTTTTGTATAGTCTTCCAAAACTTACATATTTTCCACCTCAGTCCCATTTCTGATCTGTTTTAACACGTTTTGTGCCGTCTGTGTACCCATTATCGATAATTTTACAAATTCTTCACCATTTTCATATAATGTTCAACGGGACGTCTTGTTGCTACTTGAATTATTGGTTTGATTACTTCATTTTTCCTGTCTTTCACAATTTTCTATATGTAAGTAACTTTTTACAGTTGGGAATTTGCAGCGTGAATACAATACAGTTACCTATCACGTTTTTATAATTCAATAAATATATTTTTAATAAACCAATCGTACGAATGCACGCCTGTGTGTGCGTCAAACCACTCAAAATGTCAAATAACTAGAGACTATTGTTTAAGCGACGTTTTATATACGACGGACATTGCTGTAGCCGAGTGATATGTTTTTGATATGCCCACGAACCAAATTCAAAAGTAAACATTGTTCTAAAGCCCTTTAGGGGCATCTCAATTTATTTGAGTACTTCTTGTGAATACATTCTTTATTTTTAAGCATTCAAAATGAAAACTGATACAATAGATTCATGCAAAGAATATAGAAGGAGGCTTATGTCCAACAGTGAACATGTATGTAAGTGCTGATCGTGATGAAGGAATATAACACAGCACATATTATTCAAATACAAAAAGATAGACTTCACAAATGCACCTTAAACTTGTTTTACTTACTAGTATATGGTAAATGAGTTAATACTCACAATATCAAGTAGTTTTTATTATTAATTATGGTAAATTTTGGGCTATGGGTTTCAAGGCTTACAATACATCATCATGCCCCAGTACTAAAAATAACCAGATCTCAGATACAGGAAAGATCTTTAATCCTGAAAACCACCTTCCCTCTCAAGGAATCCATTCAAAGCTCCAAAGATCGAGATTCTGGTTTCATCAAACCAAATACCTTACTCCACTCTTCTTCTGTCAAGCCTCTGTCTGTCAAAGCCCAATCAATGCGTTTTGCCTGTTTGATATTTATACGCCAGTTGATTTGACAATAGTATTAATTTCTTTTATTATAGTTATAGTTCTTCTTGTGTTATGATAACGTTTACAAACTTTCATTACACGTGATTTTGTGGAACCACCACCCAATTTGTTTGCTGTTTCTTGATATGTGTAATCTTCTTCTCCGAAGGATAATTGCTTTGGTTCTCTTTCTTGGCGACCAGTCAACATGTCTTGGGTTTTTTGATGCTTCTTAGAGTGCCGTCTCCCTACGGAGGTTGACAATCATAATGGCTATTTTTATTTTTGAACTTGCTGCTTTAAACAAATAAATCGGTCAACAAATCTTCTTCCTTGAATCTTTCCCTGTATTATGAGTCTCAAAATTTCATATTGTTACACTTCTTGAAAATTAACTTTATTCAACACCAACAATATTCCAATACTTTTAACTAACTGACAAATATAAACTTCAACAAACTTCACTAGACATTTCAAGAATTTTCGATGTCATCTTGAATGTTCTAGAACTACTTCTTCGAATGTAGATCAACGTTTACATACCGACATCGCTGAATCAATATGTTGATGGAAAATAGTCCTTCTCGAGTACCCATTCCATTTCGGAACCCAAACTGCGTCTCGCTAATATCCTCCTCTAGCCTTTCGTATATTCTCTTATGTATTACTTCCAGCAGTACTTTTAAAGTATGACTCATGAGGCTCAGTGTTTGCTTCAAAATCTGCAAATTCAAAACTGCTTGTTTCTTAGGGATGGTTGTAAATGCTGACTTCAGCCACGCTTGTGTTATTATTCCTCTATCGTACACCGTGTTAAATAAATCTGCCACTACTTCCAAATTATCCTATTCCACTAGTTTTAACAGTTCTACTGGTATTTCATTTAATCCAGGTGCCTTATTGTCTTTAGAGTTTTTAATAGCATATTTTATTTCATCTATCGTGATCTTCTGTCTCTCTAAAGGATTTAATTCTTGTATTTTCTGCATTTCACCTCTTTCATCTTGGTAAAGTTCTCTAACGTACTCCTCCCATCGTTTTAATTTCTCTGGTAAATCTATTAGTAGTACTCCTTTTTTGTCTTTTATGTGTCCTTGCTGTCTATTTCGACCCATTCCAGTCACTTCTCTTATTTTTTGTGCACATTTCTCATGCCATATTGTGGTTATTTATTGATATCTCTCCATTTCCTGACAATTGTACATAGCTAACCCCAAGTATATCTATATTTAGCCTCTCTTTCTCTTTAATAACATTGTATAGTTTTCCAGACTGATACCTACTTCTTACATTCCAGGTAGCTAGTTTTATGTGAGAGGGATGAGTATTTTTTTTGGTATTTTGTGCAAGGGTTTCGCATGTTGACGACCGAGGAGGCATTGCTTTCTGATGGTTGTCCTACCCTGCCGGATTTTGGTCTCCGATTACCATAATCAATAATGACTCTTGCGCAAATAGTGCTAGCCATTATAATTTATACTAGCGATGTCATCAGGTACCTTTAATGCAATGGTTTCTCGTTGCCTTCTGCATTCTGATGCCGTTGACCACTTTCTTGGTTCTTTCACCTTCGAGACCAATTTCTCAGTCTCAGGACGACAGAGTGTCCTTAAATTTACTAGCTCATCCGCCCTAAGCCGTTGGCCAGTAAATGGTGAATTGCTTATCCCGGCAAACACTCGTACTTCAGAGCCTCGTTAGTTATCTAGCAGGATGTACCAGAAGACCATGATCTAGATCATCATATGTGCAGGTGAGGTTGAAATTTGAATACGAGTGGGTATATGTTGCGCTTTACCGGTAGCCCAAAATTTACCCTCATTAAATAATAAAAACTTCTTAAGATTGTGGGTATTGACTTATTTCTCATAACTAGTATTATGGACTTACATTGGCAACATTTTCATCATTTGTTTCATTTAATGGTAAAATCAGAAAATATGCATACAAATGAACTATATTCAACATTACTGAAGTCCATAGAAAAATATGTTTACTAACTTCCGGTGAATAGTTGTACATTTTAAAATATTCTAGTTGAAAAGTTTTATTCACACCGAAACAGCTGTGGTGAATTTGTTAATGTATTTTGTGAAATTTTAGCACTCATTATTTATGATCGTTCTTTGTATAATATTGTTGTAAATCATTGAAATTGATTTTATATATATATATGGGTCATTATTATATTATGTATATGGTGATTTTATTTACTATTTGTTGCAATTATATACTTTATACTGTATTATATATTACTACTTTATATCCAAAACTTTATAGACCCTAAGTTTCCATCGGAGGCATGATTTTTGAATTAATTGTGAAATTACTGTATCTCAAATTATTGTTTTAGTTGTAATTGACAAAAAAATTGAACCTGACTTCGCTGCATTTCATATTTCCACCGACACATATACAGTAGTGTTATGGAAAGTCGTTCCATTGAAGAGCATCGACTTTTCCACCGGGTAGTTGTAATATTTATGTTTTACAGAGTTCCTAATAATAATATTTTGATTTCTATACATCATATTTTTAGTAGTACAAATAACAGTGCTACATTCTCTACTATTCTGAAAATATAGCAATTCTGTGCGAAAATGTCAACCTGCTTGTTACTACTACCCGAGTATTACTGTATATGGTAAATCCAGTACAAGGTTCAGATTTTTTAAATTAATGTGAATGAATTTTGAAATGACCATCAAATCAAATGTTTCATTTCTGTCCATCGAACAATTTTTATAAAAGTCAAGTGTTTATTCGCATGTATAAAAAGAACATTAAATAGTTTATTTTGTAATAAACTTGTGTTTTATTTACTACCCTTGGAAATATTGATCGTCAGAAAGCCCTTAACCCTTTAATCGGCAAGATAGAAATAGTAGGTTTTTAAGTATCAGGAATTTTGGTTTTAGTGTTATTTGGCTGTGGGAAAAGCGAATCTGAGGTCAGTTTGGCGATATTGTGTCTGGTTTGGTCGCCAGGCCAATAAATGGTAGACCGTCTACAGGCAGTCTTGTTTTTCAGAAGAAAATATGAAAACACCATAATTTATTCTTCTTCTTGATGTGCCTATTAAGTGTGAAGTATTAGTTGAAGATTGTTTGTCTTTCGTATTCTTGCAATCTTTCAGAGCATTTCGTGGTAACTTCATTATGTTAATTGGAATTGTCACAGTTTTCGCTGGTTTACCTATACGTCTCACATCATTGTCGTCTGATTCTCTGCTTTCAGCACTAAGAGGCTCATAGGTTTTATCAATATCCGCATCATCATCTCCAAACAAATTATCATCTTCCTCAAGATACATCCGCCAAGAGTATACAATACTAAATATTTGAAGTCAGCAAAATACTAAATCAGTGTTATTAAACAATAGCTTACCCTCTAGGTGTTGTTTCATTAGGAACATTATATGACAGTAATTGTAGTATTCTTTTCCCACGAGAGTTTGGATCTAGTTTGCAATTATTAAACAACGGATGTATTGTACAACTTTTAACAATCTAACACTATTGCGAATCAAATAAAATGGTTACTATTATTTTAGTTCATGACAATTCCACCAGGTACCAGAGTGCATAACACTATGTAGTCTGGTATAGTAAATAACAGATATAACATCCACATATCTTCGCGAATCTGGTTTTTCCGCATTGGCGTATATAAAATCAAAATACCGTTCAAGTCTGGACGTTAAAAGTGATTTGAGGTGTGCTCTGACACAGTTTTAACCAAATATAAAAAAACCTGTCAAGAATAGACCATGCCAACCCTCTCATTGAAAGTGTAAAAACACTCATATAATACTTTTAATTTTATACCCGTATTTGATTATTCTTTTTCTCAAATAAATAAACAATGTTTTTAATGAGACATCAAATAAACTTTCGTATTTCGAGCATCGTCAGTTTCACAATTTCACTGTTCTAACTTGAACCAACCAATAATTGACTGGAGGGGAGGCGTGAGCTATCTTCAGTGTTCAAAGGGGGCACGAGTGCTAAACGGTTGAGAACCACTGGTTTAGAGAGGAACTAAAGATAAAATATCAAAAGAAAGCCTTTTTACAATACACAACACAACAGGCATACAACCATTATAAACGAATACTTCGCTTGATAAAAAGAAACGGAAACACTGGTAGAGCTTCTCAAAACAGATGTAACAAGAGTTCTACTGAACACAGAAAGAACATGGCGAATGATCAGCGGACAAAGAAAAGAGATGAACGAACTAATAAAAACGAAACACATTCAGAAGAACACATGGGCAGAGTACTTTCGATCTCTATAGGTGACGATAATGAACCACCATCACCAGAGGTGACAGCAAACAAAGAAACAAATATTGGGGAAGAATTAAAGGAAGCATTAAGGAAATTAAAAAACAGAAAATTACCAGGAAAGTAAAGAATGCCGAACTTACGGAGGACCAGATCTGACCAAAGAACTACTAAAGTTAATCCAAAAAATAATAGAACAAAACAGAATTCCTCAAGAAAGGAGATCAAGCATAGTAGCTTTTATTGAACAAGTGAGACAAATCGGGCCCGGAAAATTACAGAGGAATTGATTTATTAAACAAAACACTAAAATTAACAACCAGAGTGATAACAAATAAACTGAATGACTAGAACACTAGCAGAACAACAAGGTTTTATGTCGGGAAGATCATGCCCCGACGCTATATTTATAATGAGGCAAGTGCAAGAGAAATCGTTATAGAATACAACAAACCGGCATATCTATGATTGGTGGACCTTAAGAAGGAAGGAATTATGGCATCACATTATCTAGATACGGAAAGCTCGAAGATCAGTTGAATAGAGCAAACAGCCGCAGCTTGCCTTAATGAAACAATAAGAAATAAAAATATCGGGAAAGAAAAAGGCAGAATTTACAAAACAGTCAACATATCAATAATGACATACGTGGCAGAAACGCGACCTTATACAGAGGGGACAAAAAGAATGTTAGAAACAGTTCTGGACTCTCCCAAATTTTAGGATTGGTTATAGTAATAAAACAACTACAAAAATTTAAAAAAGTGTATTTCAGTCTTAAATCAGACAAATGTTACAATAGTTCTTTAGATAATAAATAAAATAACAAATAGAAAAAGTGTATATATAAAAATATATAAATTTTATAAATAAGCTTATACAATATGTTCCACTAATTTGGAACCATATGGAACACTTTATTATTAATTTTACGAAAAAAAAAAAAATTCTGCATGTTGTAAAATCTAAAGGACAATAATCAAATATCAAAGTTTATTAATAGTATACGAGGTATGTCAAAAAATATGAATTACGTGTTTAAAATGCAAAATTGTTTGAAAACATTTAGAAACGATACAGTTCTCATGTGTTTTTTTAATCACAAGAGATAAAAAAATGTTCATTCAAAAATAGAAAGATTAGTAAAAAATAACAAAACTTATTTTTGTAATGGAAACGTATGTAATTGTATATTTGAACATAGTTTTGATCAGCTTTTCTTAGTAACCATTTTCGACATTGTGCAGATATGTAGAATTTTTTATGAAGAATAATTTTTTTTGTAAAATTAATAAAAAAAAAAGTTTTCCATATGGTTCCAATCAGTATGACATATTGTAGAAGTGTTAACAATCTAAACTATAGTAGTAGTAGTATCACAATTATATCAGATCATATAGATTCATGAACATATGCAAAAGGCATATTAAATTCATTATATCACATTATTCTATAATAAGAAAACAAGCTGTAAATCTTGTTCAAATACTTTTTTGTACTTTGTTAATAACTGGTTAACAATATAATAATAATTTATATATCACAATGGCTAAAGCCGTATAACTGAAGTACAAAATATTAAAAATATTTACGAATCCACAATTTTCAGTGGATTTTTACTATTGAAATCAAATGTGAGCAGCATATTTAACATTTCCTTCATTTTTCTCGTATACACTGGAAAAACAAAAATAAAGATCTCAAATCCTTACATCCAAAATAATCTGCTTTAGTTTTAAAATTTCAGCCATAAAATACTGATATTTGACATTTTGTGTCAAGTACACCATTCACCAACATGATTAGTAACTTGTTGTCCAGTGTGCAGAATATTGTTGTAATCGAAGTTCCTGAAACAACACAGTTGAGTTAGTATTTAAAATAAACACCAAAGCTATCAAAACAACTAAAATTTAACCTCAACCATCTTTGATAGAAGCATTTGTTTCATGTCAAAAATGATGAAAAAACGGTTTTTTAACAGAATATATGACATAGGGTATTGCATCTAAATGATATGGAGTAAATATACATCGGTTGTGGCAGATACTTTATGTTAATAAACAAATTATATATTTGGCTAGTTAAATTATGTATTAAATGTTGTTCTTGTACTATTAATTGTCAACTAAGCAATATATGTGACAGTTTTGTTTATATTAAAAATTATTACATTATCAATAATTATAGCAAATGAAAAATTGTTAGTAACCTATGGATTTTGAAATGCAATTGGGGTACTTTATTGGGAATCTTAGAAATAAAAATGTCAATTCCCACAGGAAAAAAAAGTGGGAACTTTCAGGTAGTGATCAATTGGAACACAAAATTTGTAGGAATAGAGGATTGATTATACGTGCACCAAATGTCGACATTAATATTCGTATCTATAACAAACGATCTTGACCACGAGGTTGAAATACGTGCTCATATAGAATATGCTAGGTCCGCATCTCAACAAATGAAAAAATTCCTAATAAACTCTACGTTATCGTTGGATACCCGATATCAATTTGTAAAAACGTTTATTTATTCCTTATTGCTATACGGAGTGGAAACATGGCCTCTCGGAATTACAAGTATGAGACGTATAGAAGCCTTTGATATGTGGGTTTTTCGAAGGATGCTGAAGATCTCATGGACAGAGCATGTGACCAACAACGAGGTGCTAAGAAGAATGGGTACTGAGAGAGAACTCCTAAATATTGTAAAAAAACAGAAAAACGAGTTGTCTAGGGCATATTTACAGTGGAGAAAAATACAACTTCCTACGACTTATAATGGAAGGGAAAGTGGAAGGAAGAAGAGGTCCATGAAGAAGAAAATGCTCCTGGTTGAAGAATGTAAGAGACTGAACAGGCATGGACACACATTCCATACTAAGAACAGATCAAAATAGAGAGCAGTAATGGAGAAGGCATCTTAATAAGAAGAGGATTGAGAAAGAATATAATTTGTTGGTAATGCAACTGGAAACAGGAACAAACCTTGTTATGGTATCATATTCTTATCTTGTATGTTGGTCATCAGTAAAATCAAACTCACCTTATTGAATTACTGCTCCAAAAACCGTGTTAGCTTGCACACCAAGTTTTTATGATCAAGCATGTGCCAACTTCCTAGTTTTCGTTGTGCAAAATGTATATTATTGTATTTAGTTATGTCATATTTTCTTCCTTTAGTTGCGTTAAATAGTGTTGAGTTGTTGTCCTATTCTAATTTAGTAAGGCTTTTTCTGTTGATGAGGATGCCTGGATTGGTCACTACCTTTCTTCATTTGTAACATGGTATGTCAAAATCCTTTTTACGATGTCACAGAAGAGAATGAATGAGCACAGCATTTGAGAACACTTCCGATAATCTGTATGTTTAGCCGAATAATACAGGTTTTCTTGTTCTGGATTTCCTCTTCTATGACCAATAGGTCTATCAGGGAGCTTTTTTCTTTGGTTTGTGTAAGTAAGATGATATCATCATTCAGTACAAGTGAGTAATTTCAATTACCAAGAGTATTACACAAGGTTTGAGAAAGATACATCGACTCTCTAAACATACAGGTTTAGTGTATATACGGAACAATTCACAAAACATTAGAACAAGACAAGAAACGATACAGTGATAAAACTACAAGACAATGGTCACATCTACTCCCCTATATCGATTGAAGTTTCTGAGAAACTTGCAGAAATGCATTCAGTCAAACTTATGTAGATCAGAAACTTGACTTTCAAATACTAAAAGAAATAACACCTTTAGGTTCATCATAGAAATAAATAGAAAATAACTTAAATTTGAAACTAAACTACACTTATGATGATTCAGAAAAAATAATTTTAATTTATTATTCTAATTTGATCCACACCAACAACCAGGAAGTGATTTAAAACATCCGTAAATGTACCAAATTGCTTATAGAGATATTTTTATTGTGTTACATTCTTTTCATATATAATTTGCATTCAAATTGTGGACCTTTATTTTTCAATTTAATGTAATTGATCAATTTTTCAACGTTATTTCGTTATAAGCATAAACATATTATGGATTTAATATTGCTCATTGTTATGTTCGGAATGGTGAACTTCAAGTCATATAAAAAAAATCTATTGCAGACTAAACTACAGCGATTTTATGTTCATTGCCCATTGCCCAATAAAATGTTACCTGCTTTAGGATCTTAATTAACTTTTTTATTGTTTAAATTACTTTTTGTAGTAAGCCTAAAAAACATATGGAAGTTTGATCATTAAAATTTTATCACGTGTTATTATTAAGGTATTATCAAAAAAATGGAATTTAAAATGTATCGTGGTTGACTTGGACCATCTTTGATTAATGTGTCTACTCATTTTGTGATGTTAAATATCATAAAAAGATATATGGTTGAATGGTAATTTGGCAATGGTGTGCGAAAAGTGCAGGAATTTGCCAGAAACAATCTTAAGTTAACGGTAAATCACCGTTGGAATAATCTTTGAACTGTTGCTGCATCGCCTGATAATAACTGCCGCAAATGCAGACGAAACGTCACGGAGAAGTAATTCCAGAATATGGCCTAAAAACTCAAACCGGTCTGGTAACCTGGCAAACTTCGTATGGTAACCGGCTCAGTAGTGCTGCGACTACTGAGCTTTCAAATTGTAACCCGAAGAGCTGAGGGGACTATAGCCTTGTTATCATATGAAGCATTTGGTCTCAACTCGTGAAAATAACATGGACACGTGACAAAAGATGGCCAGAAGACTCACAAATGAGCGAGTCCACAAATAAAAATGGGATCAGAGAATGGTCGCGGATCTATATCTGTCCCAAACAGGTTTGAATGGCCACAATCTGGATCCTGCAGGCAAACATTCACTGCAGTAAGGCAGAACTTACAGTTACTTAAGGTGCCTCCACATGCCAAGAAAAATCCGAAAGCATGTCTTGAAAGTGATCCTAAAAAGACACACATCTGCCTAAAGGAACTCAAGTTTATGTACTTAGGAACTCAAGTTCGCGTAATGGCGTCAACAGATGATCTTGCTATTGTCTGTTAAGTAATGAAAAAAAGTTAGGCGGAACTTGTGGACTAAAAACAGGTTACAGAAAAGTAAAGCTAAAAGAACCGAGGTTCAGTCCGAATGATTGGCACAATTATTTGTGGATACATGATGCCCTTACGAGGCAACAAGAATGAGATTTTGGTATTGTAATTTCCGGCCTCCAGTCATCAGACCTGCAGGAACGGGTTTTCCGTTGTGTGTGGCGGCACCTTTAGGTGAATTCGCTGTCTCCTCGAGTTTATTACGGTTAAATCAAAGGTCTGCCTTCGGCATAATGAGATAAGGACGATAAAGCTCATATAATACATGGCTCAAGGGAGAAAGTGTTGCCTTAAACGATACTTATGACTGGCGAACTCTGGGTGATTATAACCTTAGCCCAGTAACAGTACACTGCCGTGCCAGACAGTAATTCGTCTTAACTCGTGGGAATTCCCAAATATTATAGTCTGTATCTGTTCAAGTCGTAACTTGTGTATAGTTACAATAGGAAGATGTATAGTAAGTCCAAGGGCTACCTTTTCTTCTTTGCTACCTACTTAATAAGGCAAAACCCTCCATGTGTTGAAAATATAGATCTAAATATACTTCCCTTATCCCGGTTCATTCTCCGATTTGATTAACCCAGAGACCAGCCTTCTACCCAATGGCTCTTCATCCTTCGATTTTTTGCATATAAGTTGGAGATCATTACATGTCACAGTAATGGTGACTGGATGGTTAGATGAGGAAACACAGATATAGTTAATGAACCATGGCGTAGAAAATGCACAAAAAAGCAGATATCTTTTGTCAACGTGAAATAGTATGATGGCACGGCTACACATTCGCTGGTACAGTAAAGTAGCATGAGAAGTTCAAGTAATGTCTTTCATGAATAGTTTTTACGCAAAGATAAAACTGTTATCTTTAAACTATAATAATTATTTATGTATTTTAACTTTCTTTGATCTATTCTAAGTTCATTGTGTTATTTTTCGGTCCCGATTCTAAAATAAAACCACGTCCACCGAAGAAATTATTATTGTATAAAAATCTCCATTCCAAAAATTTAAATATGAATATTTATAAATAAAGTACAGAGGTGTAACGTATTATCACGTTCATAATTTAAACATTTACCACATTTTCTGAAAAGTTACAGTAGATGTTGTGTTATTTACCCCTGCCACATACTTTGGCTTATTACTATTAATACAATATGCATTGTAATATGACTATTAATACGATACTGTTTATATGTATATCAATAATCCTGTCTATATTATAGACGAATTATTGTAGTGATATGATAAAAGACGCACAATTCACTCTCCAGTAAAAGAAAATATAAAAGAGTATAATAATTAATGTAATTTACCTGACCTTGGTCTAAATTGAACGCGAGACTTCCGTCTGGGTGTTCTTCTCCCAGTGAAGGGTAATACTATTCGTAATGCATTGTTTTAAAAAGAAAAACAATAGCTGTAAGAAATTGTTAAACATTATTAAACAACATTAAATTATACCAGTCTTTGACGAAATCCAAGACTCGTGACTAAGAGAAGACTCAAATACCAACTTTAAACAGAAATTAACAATAGAAAGATATGGAATTATAACAGTATGAAGAGAAGATTGGAATTATGAACCCTACATTGGTGGGAAGTTAAACAAGTAGTTATTTAGCGAAGAACTAGTCGGAGAGAGCAATCAGATCGTTGAGAGATGTAAATAAATCTGAGGTTGCCGAATTGGTGCCCAGGTACATATTTTACTGGGAGGGGCTAGTACTAGACCTGTTACATCCTGTTGTCGACAAATAA